ACACAATCACACACACACACACTCATATATCACACACACACACACACACTTACCACACACACACACACACACACACACACACACATACACACACACACAAATATATATGTGTGTGGGTGTGTATGTGTACAGATCAGCACCCTTAGAGTGCCGATTTTACAGCACAGAGAAGGCCTTCATTCATGGAAGCCCACAAACATATGATGAAAAGCCCAGTATCATCCATATCATCGATATATCAAATGCTTTTTTACAGACGGCACAATAAAAAAAAGAAAATGAAAAAAAAATAAACACCAAGATAAATATGTGAATAAAAGAATTCAGTGAATGAGATAGCGTAGCACAGAAGAGCTGTTTTCTAGACTGATTATGTAACGTTCTTAGAAACGTTGAAGATAATAACATCCCCCCCTCACCCCCCCCCCCCCCTCCCTCCTGCTGTCCTCTCTCCCCTTCCTCTGTCTCAACCTCTCCAATTCTCTTTCTCCCCTTTCACTCTGCCATGCCCGTCTTCCTTTCATCCAGCCTCCCCCCCTTTCACCTGCCCCTCCCCTTTTCACACCGCCCCTCCCCCCTTTTACACCGCCCCTCCCCTTTTCGCCTATCCACTTTGCTCCTCCCCCTTAATCCTGCCTCTCCCCTTTTTTGCCTTGCTCCTTTCTCCCTTTCCCCATGCACCTCCCCTTTTCGTCTTGCCCGTCCCCCTTTCACCCTCCCCCTCCCCCCCTGATCCTGTCCCTCCCCATTTTCGCCTTGCCCCTTGCCTTTTCACCCTCCCCCTCCCCCCCTGATCCTGCCCCTCCCCCTTTTCGTCTTGCCCGTCCCCCTTTCACCCTCCCCCTCCCCCCCTGATCCTGCCCCTCCCCATTTTCGTCTTGCCCCTTGCCTTTTCACCCTCCCCCTCCCCCCTGATCCTGCCCCTCCCCATTTTCGTCTTGCCCGTCCCCCTTTCACCCTCCCCCTCCCCCCCGATCCTGCCCCTCCCCCTTTTCGTCTTGCCCGTCCCCCTTTCACCCTCCCCCTCCCCCCCCGATCCTGCCCCTCCCCCTTTTCGTCTTGCCCGTCCCCCTTTCACCCTCCCCCTCCCCCCCTGATCCTGTCCCTCCCCATTTTCGTCTTGCCCGTCCCCCTTTCACCCTCCCCCTCCCCCCCTGATCCTGCCCTCCCCCTTTTCGTCTTGCCCGTCCCCCTTTCACCCTCCCCCTCCCCCCCCGATCCTGCCCCTCCCCCTTTTCGTCTTGCCCGTCCCCCTTTCACCCTCCCCCCCCCCCCCCCGATCCTACCCCTCCCCCTTTTCGTCTTGCCCGTCCCCCTTTCACCCTCCCCCTCCCCCCCCGATCCTGCCCCTCCCCCTTTTCGTCTTGCCCGTCCCCCTTTCACCCTCCCCCTCCCCCCCCCGATCCTGCCCCTCCCCCTTTTCGTCTTGCCCGTCCCCCTTTTACCCTCCCCCTCCCCCCCTGATCCTGTCCCTCCCCATTTTCGTCTTGCCCGTCCCCCTTTCACCCTCCCCCTCCCCCCCTGATCCTGTCCCTCCCCATTTTCGCCTTGCCCCTTGCCTTTTCACCCTCCCCCTCCCCCCCTGATCCTGTCCCTCCCCATTTTCGCCTTGCCCCTTGCCTTTTCACCCTCCCCCTCCCCCCCTGATCCTGTCCCTCCCCATTTTCGCCTTGCCCCTTGCCTTTTCACCCTGCCCCCTCCCTCCATTCGTCCTGCCCCTTATCCTCATCCTTATAGTAAACCAAAGTCGTGTGCTGTCAAAGTCATGACAATCTAGAACTACTTCATTAAAGACATTATGTCATGCTTCTAAACAGGAGACTCAGTAACCTACAACAGAGTTTTAACATATTAGGACATGTTATCTTATTCATGTGGTATATTAATACTAATTAAGATTTGCATATCATTGCCTGTTCTTTCGAAACGCCCTTCTTTAAGCTGTTGTGTAATGTGGTTAACAAAGTTTGACTTTAGATGGGAAATGAGAATCTTGGGAAATGGAGATCTTTCTCTTCAAATTCACAATTTTTACTTCAGTTTTTTTTTTTCTGTACGCACACCACCAACGAAAACTGGTTTATATATGTTGCTATATATGACTATAACTGTTTTGTAATAAAACCTGTGTATGCATTTTTACTTGTATTTGTGTATACGTATATCTAACTCTTTCATTATATATATATATATATATATATATATATATATATATATATATATATATATATATATATATATATATATATATATATATATATACTGCCGCGATAGCTCAGTGGTTAGAGCACTAGACTCCGACCCTCGTGGTCCCGGGTTCAATTCCCCGTCGCGGCAGTTGTAAAAAATGCCTACGCTCTGACTGCTGTCTCGAGTCCGAGAAAACGACATATCGGCTTGAGAGGTCAAACGCAGGTGCCGTAGGGGAAGTCACCGCCGTGGTGTTAAGTGTTAACGCGCCGAACCGCGGTTGATTAGGAAGGGCATTCAATCAGGAAAGGGTGACACCGCCATATAACCTCTCAATAGTGAATGAGAGAGGCCTATGTCCTGCAGTGGAATGAATGGCTGTTGAAAAAAAAAAAAAAATATATATATATATATAAGTATATATATATATATATATATATATATATATATATATATATATATATATATAAGTATATATTTGTGTGTGTGTGTGTGTGTGTGTGTGTGTGTGTGTGTGTGTGTGCATGTGTGTATCCATAAACACACACACACACACACACACACACACACACACACACACACACACACACATATATATATATATATATATATATATATATATATATATATATATATATAATGAAATAGATATACAAATACACGCATACTTGCATACATACATGCATACACACACACACGCACAGGATAAGTGAGAACGAGATCTCGAACTTCGAGAAGATGTCATGAAAGCGGGTTGAGTTGTTATAAAAGCACTTATTACAATTCATAATCCTAGAGTGAATTCAATGTCGAACGTTAAGTAGGTGGGTTAGGGCTTAGAGC